ATTTTTGCATCGCTCGCCTCGAACCCGTCTTCAAACTCCCGCTAATGACGTATGGTCTCTCTAACTGTCCAATGACAGTGCGTGTTATATTTACAAGTGGGAGACAGGCGAAAGGTGATTGGTTGCTACCACGCGTGTACTGTCCAATGGCATTTTTTAACTCGATTGGCAAATGGATAAAGAAAAGCATTTGGCAAATCAACAAAGAAAAGCATTTGGCAAATAGATAGAGAAATGGTTTGCCAAATGCTTAAAAAAAAAAAGTGATTTAACATGTGCCTTTAAAATGATTTATTAAAGTACTTTTTATTGTTTTATTAATCTACGTTTGAAAACATGAATTAAATAAACAATTTTAAATGTCTATTTATACATTTAAAATGTTTTTATTTATTTATTGTTTTATGGTTTTATTGCAACATTTAAAAACACGAATTAAATAAACAACTTTAAAAATGTCTATGAATTTGTCCATTTAAAAGTGATTTATTTATATACATTTTTATGTTTCAATTATTAAATTGATATATTGAATCTTCATTTTATTTTTAAGTGGCACTCCTGGTCCTCCATACAAGTCATCCTTGGTGTATATGACATTCTTCTTTCAGACGAATACAATCGGAGGTATATTTAAAGATGTTCTGGCTCTTCTGAGCTTTATAATGGCAGTGAATGACTGTCTATAAAAGCGCATCCATCCATGATAAAAGTAATCCACACGACTCTGGCGGGGTTATAAAGGCCTTTTGAAGCGAAGCGATGCATTTGTGTAAGAAAAATATCCATATTTAAAACTTTATTGACTAAAATAACTAGCTTTAAAATAACTAGCTTAGCATATATTTATTTCTGCTTTTGAAGTAACTAAAACTTACAGCTTCACTAATAGCAAAGAAACACTGCACTTACAGGTATAATTAATTCATTCTAGAAATTGTTCTATCGCCAATGCATTCAAATGCAGTGCTACTTTATCTGTATCTGATTTAAAGGAGCTGTATGTAAGATTGTGCCCAAAACTGGTACTGCAATCACTTTCAAATTACTGTAGAGCGGTGTATCCCCTCCCTCTCCCCCCTGACTCGAGGTTGCCAGATAGGCTGCAGGATCCAGCAGGAACGTGGGCTGCTACAAGGAGCTTTCAACTAGAGCAGAGCTGGCAACCCGGATGCCGAAACACTACTGACTTTGTGATTGGTAGATAGGTGGAGGGATGGGCTTCAGGCCGAAACACAAGTTGACAACATCAACATCAGTTGAGGGCTGCAACTTCACTTTTTAAATGACAATATCGTGGCCATACTACTGTTGTCAGTGATATAAGTATTTGAAATGAACATGATTTCTTAATGTCTAGAGACACATCAGGGCCATTTTATGATTAATTGAAATACATTTCTTACATACAGCTCCTTTAAAACAAGCAGAAATGTGTAAGAAATGTAACCATCCATAGACACTAGGGCCCTATCTTGCACTCGGCGCAAATGACTTTGTACACTGACGCATGTATCATTCCTATTTTGCACCCGCGCAAAGCGGACTTTTCCCTCCACAGACGCACGTCGGTTAACTAAGAAATACAGTTGCGCTCCCCGGGGCGGTTCAGCGCAAAGAGGAGGCGTGTTCCGGCGCAAACTTTTCCTCATGCTATTTTGCTGTTCTATAAAACAATTGCGCCACTGACCAGAAAAAAACTAGTCTAAAGTCAGTGGCGCGTTGCGCGTTGTTCATAATGCTATTTTAAGGGCGCATGCTTGGCCATAATCAATGTGCACAACGCGCATACACATTGATTCTTTCATCTAAGCAGCAGTTTTCATTTTTGCAAATCATACATTATTACGATAGATAGATAGATAGATAGATAGATAGATAGATAGATAGATAGACAATTTATTATAAAAGCATGTAGCTTACACATTTACCCAAATTATCATACGCCTGTTTAACAGAACTTAATTTGGGTGGGTTTCTCCATCCCCAATGTCACTTCTCTGTGTTTTACGGCCCTGATGAGAACATTGCTCTCCTCGGCTGTGAACCGCTCTTGGCGCGCGCCTGGCAAATCCGCCGTTATAATAGGAATCCGCTTTAGAACAAGCGCGCCTGCTCTTAAAGGGAATGTGAGATGACGCTCTGATTGGTTTATTTCACGTTATGCCCAAACCACACCTATGAATAATGAAGCTACTTCAGACCAACCCCTTTTAGATTTGCGCCAGGCGCAAGAGGCATTTATCCCGCCGGGAAAATAGCAACAGCGCCGGGATCCGCCCACAAAGTTACTTGCGCTTTACGCTTTGACACTTGCGTTTCAGATCGTTAAAATAGGGCCCATAGTGTTGCTTTACCCTAACTGGCCCTATAACTGCTGTTATGTGAGAGCACTAGCCTCGTGGGCAGCGAGCACTGTAACGTGCTGGAGCTGTGCTCACTATGATGTAACGATTCACTGATGAAAATCGATAAAAATGTGTGACGATTCAAGTCGGTTGAAATGTTAAACGAATCGCGATACACGTTTTAAACAGCAGGTCGCGTTTACAGTATAGCCTACTGTGAAGTTGTGAACCTCGCTTTACCGGCACAATAGCAGCGAGCACACACTGGCGTGAAACTGGCGTGAAGCTAGCGAGTGTTTTCACTTTATTCATGGAACTTGATCTTGTGTGAACCAAGCTCAACTTCCATAGGATTTAACTGAAAACGCTCGGTTTGCTTCGCTAGCGCCGCGCCAGTTTGTGTGGTGTGCATGCGCCGTCAAACAGTAGACATGGCGACGGCAAACGTATGTTGACGTTGACTCATTCAAATCGGAGGTGTGGCGGCATTTTGACTTTCCGTAGACTAATCACCGCCGTGAGAAGCACCAGTCACCTCCGTTTTCATGTAAAAGTCATTAATACGACAATTGCGAGAGCCACGGAGATCACAAGGTGCATCAGTGTTTCCGTGACAACCAGATGTTGTATTTATTTTACCAGCTAGCTCTTTCTCTAAATGTGTTTTTTTAACTCTTACTAGTGTAATGATACAAATTATAACAAAATTAGAATCTTGCCTTTATTACAATGTAAAACCCCTGTCAATCTGGTACTATTTTTACACAGTCTTTTACATAGTGTGCGAAGGTACCAGTGTCCAGATCTTTACCAAACAGACAGAAAGACTGAGTTGAAACAATCTTGAAGGGAATTTTTTTAATGTAGTTTTATTATTTGACAAATATATTTTAAATAAAAAAGAAATGTGCAGCATTTTGTCTGAGAAATAATAAAAGGAACACTTTTGTCTTAAATCTCATTTGTTAAAAAAATCGTGAGAAAATCGTATCGTGAAACAAGTATCACATGTATCATGTGATGAAACAAGTATCATATTTGTTCACATGATTTAGCCTCTAGTTGTGTTATTAACATGTATATAATGGATTAAGTATATGTTTTAAATTACAGAAACAAAAAGGATACTCATAAGGTATCATATTTATACTTTCAATAAATTAGTCTTTACATAATTTCTGATTACTAATTAGGCTGGCTGAAAGTTTACAATATCAATATTGCTTGTGATCTTAATGTATGTGTATTCTTTCTGTTTACACTTTTGCATGATCTTCTTTTATAGGCTATGAGGAAAAACTCTACCATGCACACAGAGAACAGAGCTCAATGCTGCTAACTGGGAGAGCAGCTGGACAACTAGAAGAGAAGAACAGTAGAACACTATTAATACAGATGACTGGATTACTCTTCTGCAAGAACCAAGAGAAGCAAAGACTGATGATGAGCGCTCTGAGCAAACACAGCAGTCAAGACGCATGAGTGACTTGTTGGGCATTTACTGTACGGAGAACTTCTAATAATTTATGTTGATGCCATTTATAAACTAGATTTATATGATGTTAGATTTTGATGTTTTAGTTTTGAGATTAATACAATTGTTTTAACAATGTTATAGCTAAGCATTTTTTTTTTTGTTTAAGAGAAAATTTTGGGAACAAAAATAAAACTTCCCGCTAAAAAACTTTATAATAATGTTAGGGGATAATGTTCTAAAAATGTTATGATTAAACCTTTATAGATGATTAAACACATTTTATTAGAATGTGTTCTTAGAATGTGTCATTTTCCAGAGAATGTTATTAGAACATTTAAGAGAACATTCTGGGAACAAAAAGAAAACTTCCCTGCTGAAAATGTTCTAAGAATAATAGGAAATAATATTATAACAATGTTAGCATTAAACATATTTAGAATGTTTTAAAAGAATGTTATTAGAACTTTTTAGAGAACATTCTGGGAACAAAAAGAAAACTACCCGTTGAAAATGTTATAAGAACGTTAGGGAATAATGTTCTAACAATGTTAGCATTAAACATATTTAGAATGTTTTAAAAGAATGTTATTAGAACTTTTAAGAGAACATTCTGGGAACAAAAAGAAAACTACCCGCTGAAAATGTTCTAAGAATAATAGGGAATAATGTTATAACAATGTAAGCATTAAACATATTTAGAATGTTTTTAGAGAATGGTACCCTAGTTTTTAGGAGAACATTCTGGGAACCAAAATAAAACTACCCGCTGAAAACATTATTAGAACACTGCATGGTAATGTTCTCAGAACATTTATAGAACAAAAATTTCTAGTTGGGATATCAATTTATTGTTTTCACCAATTAAGATGCTGAACATCCCGTTACATAATCAATATTTACAAGTTAGCCTTCGCCATAGTAGGTAGTAAAGCTTACACAGCTTTTCGAAATAGCATGTAGCCAATCAATGATAAATAAATTCACCACAAATTAATATCAGCCTTTAGTATATATTTGCCGCACCTTTTATGTTTAATAACCCAAAAAGTATTTATTTATTAAGCATATTCAAAGACTGGTTTGGCTGAATAACAAGTCTATATTATACATTATGAGCTTGGATAGTTTTTTTCTTCAATAAATAAACATCCAGGAGTGAACTGTATTAAACTCACCCAAAATATGAAATTAAAGGCGAATATGAGGTATTTGATGCACAGCTCAGCACTGGACAGACGGGACGTCATGTTGATCCAGGTTATAAGTAAACAGCAACCGATATTTTTGTTGTTCTCAGATGTTTAAATTCCCAAAGGTCTGTGTGTGTCCTTGTGTTGCTCGTCTGGTGCTCAATGCTGCTCCCTGAGGGGAAATGACTGTTTATAACGGTAAACACCCACCTCTCACATGAGGAAGGGACAACCCAGCTAGAAATTTTTTGTTCTAAAAATATTCTAAGAACGTTACCATGCAGTGTTTTAATAATGAACAGAAAAGTGGAGCGCAACTGGTAGAAAACAAAACTAGAGGTATTTCGCATTTCATGGAAAGAGAGCACGATTGCGTACAGAGAGTGTCACGGTCAGAGGCGGACAGAGTACAGAGCTTTGTTACTTGAGTAAAAGTACAGATACCCCTTGCTAAATTTTACTCAAGTACAAGTAAAAGTACTACATTCAGATGTCTACTTAAGTAAAAGTACTAAAGTACTTGTTTTTAAAAGTACTTGAGTATCAAGAGTACAAAAGTAGATTTTCTAAATATTGCATTACTAATCTACTGCCACAGTGCTTACATTTATGCACAGAAACGTCCTACATGGAGTTATGAAAAATGTTAATGTTAATACCTTGGAGAATGTAAAAGGAATTGAAAGTAAAATCAAGTCATTTTCATCTTTTTACCATGTTGCTTTATTTAATTTAATTACATTTTTGGGGGGTCCCATCTTTAAATGCGGGGACAACACACACACACACACACACACACACACACACACACACACACCACATGTAAGGGTGGCGCTGCCAATAAAGCACCTAAAAGCTGTCACAAAGAACCGGCAAAAGGAATGATTATGAATATGTAAAATATAGCAAGGAGATATTTCAATTGTTTATTAATAAACACTTGTTAATAAACAAGTGTTTTCTTTGTCAGTGTCGGCTAGATGAAGTTGACGATGCTGACTCGCGATCTTCAGTAGTGAACGCGCCAGAGAGAAATGCACATTTCATACGGATTACATAAGCAGAGAGCAGTCTGTAGTCTGTTTTCTTTCGTTTTGAATTTTTCTGTATAAAAGTAGACATGTCTGTGAGGCAAGTAGGCTACCTTATACGCTGAGTTTCGGTTCATTTATGAGACGAGATCCAGTTCACGCGCCGGCGCCTCCGTTTCTTATCTATCGTCTGCTATTTACTTCTTATTTATTAAACCCAGGCAATTGGTTGATGAAACATTGATTCAAATTAAGATACAATTAATGCAAAACGAAATTCAGGTTAAAGAAAGGTTTTGTGTTTTCTGTTTGATGTCTCTGTGAAAGTTTTAAAGCATTTTTTATGCCGCTTTCAGAGCGCTCCGTAACGGAGAACACGTCCATAACATTGTTTTTTCCTCATAAATGCAAACCAGAAAAATCAAATAAAACAAAATTAATATTTTATGTACTGTGGAGACTGAGCGCCAACCCTTCTTCATTCGCTGGGTAGTAGCCTACTTTGGTTTGCGCAGTGTAATTCACATAATCAGTAAAAATATATTTTGCCTCCTAAAGTTTTTTTTTTAAGAAATCAGAAATCCCTCGCGGCTACGCCACTGCCACATTTGAACCTGACTGTGTTAAACACACCACATACTCAAGAACATCAAACCAAATGCTTGGCTTACATTAATGTGCAATATAAAATCTGACCATGGAGTTGACTTTGGCGGAAAACTGAAAGTGATTGCTGATAGGCTGTCCCAATCAGTGGCGCCTGCACAATCCAATCACGTTTGAGAGGGAAACAACAAATTGAGGGTTTCCGAGATTTTTCTTTACTTTTTTTTTTTTTTTACTCAGGTACTCACGGTTATGGATATAAATGTATTGGAGTAAAGAGTACAATATTTGCCTCTCAAATGTACTTGAGTAAAGTCATGAGTACTCCCCAAAAATGATACTCGAGTAAAGTACAGATCCCTCAAAATTGTACTTAAGTACTGTACTCAAGTAAATGTACTCTGTTACTGTCCGGCTCTGCCTGGATGACATATTGATTTTTTCATCTTCTCTCCAGGAACACGTTCAGCACGTCAGACGAGTGCTTCAGAGGTTACTAGAGAATGGGCTTTTTGTCAAGGCGGAGAAATGCGTTTTTCATGCACAGTCTGTTCCTTTCCTAGGGTTCATTGTCTCGTCTGAGGGAATGCGTATGGATCCTGACAAGGTTAAGGCTGTGATTGATTGGCCTAGTCCAGATTCCCGTAAGGCCCTGCAGAGGTTTCTGGGATTTGCCAATTTCTATCGGCGTTTTATTCGCAACTTCAGCCAACTAGCCGCGCCTCTGACTGCCTTGACCTCCCCCAGAACGACGTTCAGGTGGTCCGATACAGCCGAGGCTGTGTTCGCCAAACTTAAGAGCCGCTTTGTTTCGGCTCCCATCCTCGTTACCCCTGATCCATCACGTCAGTTCGTGGTGGAGGTCGACGCGTCAAAGGTGGGGGTAGGAGCAGTTCTTTCCCAACGTTCTTCCACAGACGACAGGATGCACCCCTGCACGTTTTTATCCCATCGTTTATCACCTGCCGAGCGTAATTATGACATTGGTAACAGAGAGTTGTTGGCAGTCAAGTTAGCGCTGGAAGAATGGCGTAACTGGTTAGAAGGCTCAGGGGTGCCTTTTAACGTATGGACTGATCATAAGAATCTGGAATATATCAGAACCGCCAAAAGACTCAACTCTAGGCAGGCTCGGTGGGCACTTTTTTTCGGACGTTTTGACTTTTCTCTCTCGTACCGCCCGGGTTCCAAAAACATCAAACCCGATTCTTTATCTCGTATTTTTGACCAATCCGAACGCCCGTCTACTCCCGAGTGTATTTTACCTGAGACATTAGTGGTCTCCACTCTCAGATGGGAGGTCGAGTCGAAGGTCATGAAGGCCTTAGAAGGGGTAACGCCTCCGCCTGATTGCCCACCGAATCGGTTGTTTGTGCCAGAGGAGTGTCGGTCCAACGTTATTCAGTGGGGGCATTGTTCCAGTGTGGCTTGTCATCCAGGAGTTAATCGTACCAGTTATTTGGTCAGGCAACGATTCTGGTGGCCACTTATGGCTCGTGACATCTGCAGTTTTGTTTTGGCTTGCTCTGTTTGTGCCATTGGTAAATCCTCCAATCGACCCCCAGATGGGTTACTCCAACCGCTGTCTGTCCCTTCGAGACCCTGGTCCCACATCGCACTAGATTTTATTACCGCCCTCCCGCTCTCCCAGGGCAAGACGGTCGTTTTGACTGTCGTGGACCGGTTCTCGAAGGCGGCTCATTTTATTCCCTTGCCCAAATTACCCTCTGCCAAGGAGACAGCGGTAACTGTCGTTGATCACGTCTTTCGCTTACATGGCCTTCCGATAGACGTGGTTTCTGACAGGGGTCCCCAATTTGTGTCCAAATTTTGGCAAGAATTTTGTAAGTTACTGGGAGCGACTGTCAGTCTTTTTTCGGGGTTCCATCCCCAAAGCAATGGTCAAACTGAGAGAGCCAACCAAGATTTGGAGAGAGTGTTGTGATGTTTGGTTTCCAAGAATCCTTCCTCCTGGTGTCAACAATTGTCTATGGTGGAGTACGCCCACAATTCCTTACCAGTGTCATCCACGGGGCTCACTCCGTTTGAATGTAGTTTAGGTTACCAGCCACCAGTTTTTGCCAGTACGGAATCCGAGGTCGTGGTCCCCTCCGCCCACGCCTTCGTCCAGAGGTGCCGCCACACTTGGATGAGAGCCCGTGAGACTCTTCTCCAAGTGGGGGCGCGCACTAAGGCTAAGGCCGATCGCCACCGGTCGAAGCCTCCCGTATACGTTGTGGGTCAAAAAGTGTGGCTTTCTACTAAGAATATTCCTCTCCGATCTAATAAACATGCTCCCAAATTTATCGGCCCGTTTCCTGTCACCAAAATCATTAGTCCGGTGGCAGTCCGACTCAAACTTCCTCCTGCGTACAGGAGAATTCATCCCGCCTTCCATGTGTCTAAGATTAAACCTGTGTTTCATGCACGCATTAATCCGCCAGTCCCGGTTCCTCCCCCGCCGCGTCTCGTAGATGGGGAACCAACTTATTCGGTTAACCGTATTCTGGACTCGAGACGGAGGGGACGTGGATTTCAGTACCTGGTGGACTGGGAAGGTTACGGTCCGGAGGAGAGAAGTTGCGTTCCTGCTAGAGACATTCTGGATCACTCCCTTATCGATGATTACAATCGATGGGTAAGTCCGTCTGGGAACGCCAGGAGGCGTTCTTAGAGGAGGGGGTACTGTCACGGTGTATGAATTCATTGTCTCTCTCTCGTCTTGCGTGCTGTTGTGTGTGTGTGTGTGTGTGTGTGTGTGTGTGTGTGTGTGTGTGTGTGTGTGTGTAATTGGGGGCGTGGTCACTGATCAGCAATGATCAGCAGCGCCAGCTGGCTTCAATCCGTTTTACCCTTTATATGTTGTTCAGTAACTGGTGTCTCATGTCTCCTGTGGATTTCCCTGTTCGTCTTCGTTCTTCTTCGAGTTCCTCGCACTCCCACGGATTCACTTCACTCACGGATCATCTTCACTGGACTGGGAGCACTGCACTGGTTGTTCACCGAAGTCCCTGCGTCACTCTACATCAGCGCTGGATCCTGCCCGATCCTCCATTCCTCTCCAGCTGTGTTTTTGTGACTCTGACCAAACAGTTAAATACTTACCTCTAATAAAGCATTTTTGCTATTGCATCTTTCTCCTGTGTTACGTAACAGAGAGGCCTTAAAAACAGCTCGATCTGCTTATTTTTCAACCCTAGAAGAAAATAAACAAAACCCTAGGTATTTATTTGAAACAGAAGCTAAATTAACGAAAAATAAAGCTTCAAGCCCAGATGTTTCCAAGCAGCACAGCAGTAAAGACTTTATGAACTTCTTTACTTACACGATTGATAATATCAGGGAGAAAATTAGAACTATACAACCGTCTACTACAGTATCGAATCAGGCAGTGCATTGTAGTCTCCCTGGGTATCCTGGGGATACTCCCTGAGTATCTTTATAAACTTGTTAAATCATCTAAATCGACAACATGTTAGACCCTATATCGACTAAACTACTGAAAGAGATGCTTCCAGAGGTCACA